AATTCATGCACCCAGTCGATATTTCTCATTTTTATTTTTATTTATTTATTTTTTTGAGACGGAGTCTTGCACTGTCGCCCCAGCTGTAGTGCAGTGGCTTGATCTTGGCTTACTGCAATCTCCGCCTCCTAGGTTCAAGCAGTTCTCCTGCCTCAGCCTCCCGAATAGCTAGGACTACAGGCGTGTCCCATCACACCCATCTAATTTTTTTTTTTTAAATATTTTTAGTAGAGATGGGATTTCACTGTGCTGGCCAGGATGGTCTCGATCTCCGGACCTCATGATCCACCAGCGTCGGCCTCCCAAAGTGCTGGGATTACAAGTGTGAGCCACTGTGCCCAGCTGATATTTCTCATTTTTAAAAAGCTTAGAGCCAAACAAGGTGGCTCGGGCCTGTAATCCCAGCACTCTGGAAGGATGACCGGGGTGGAAGGTCAGGAGTCCCAGACCAGCCTGGTCAATGTGGTGAAACCCCATCTCTACTAAAAATACAAAAATTAGCAGGGCGTGGGAGCGGGTGCCTGTAATCCCAACTACTCGGGAGGCTAAGGTGACAGAATCGCTTAAACCCAGGAGGCGGAGGTTACCAGTAAGCTGAGATCGTGCCATTGCACTCCAGCCTGGTCAACAGAGTGAGACTCCATCTAAAGAAAGACAGAAAGAAAAAAAGCTTAAGTTTGTTATTTTTTAGAATCTATGCCTTAGGAAAAAATCTGAAAAGGATATGTAAGGAAAAAGGGAGCTCTCAAAATAGTGAAACTCAAGATACATATATATATATATTTAATTTTTTTGTAATGTCTAGGAAATATTTTTAAATTTTTTTACTGGCATTACAATGCTGCTTATATAACAAAAATAAGTTTTATTTAAATAAATATAAATCAGACAACTCAGAGCACCTTGCTCTCCTGTGCATACCTGGGAGCTCTTTTTTCCAGAAAGCCATGTATCTTATTTTCTCCTAATCCGAGGCAGCAGCCAGAGCCACTCTCACGGAATCCATTCGGGTAAGCTGAAACTCTACGATCAGATGACTCACTGGCACCAGGTCACAGTCAGAAGTTTGCAAGTAATCAATGAAACCTTCAGGTAGCTATGGGGCTCACTTTCCAGATTATCATCAGGAAGCTTAGTATAGGAATGTCTTCACTCTACAAACTGCTAGCAACATTTTCAGATTCACTCTCCAGTGGCCCTCGTGCGTTATTCAAACATGGCTCCCCGTTAACTGGCAACCCTTCCCTAAGTTCTCTCTATCCCATTAGTCTCTTATCTCTCACCCTAGTCTCATTTTTTTTTAAAAGTCAATACTGATTTTGTCAGAAATTTTCTTGAAATAAGCCTCTTCTAATACAGCCAGTATTTTCAGAATTCAGCTATCAGTAAATGTTACTTACAGAAAATAACCACTTCAGTGTACAAGCAGCTCTGGCTAAAGAAAAACAGAGCAAAACTGAGCATAAGTCTTTGTTGAAATTACCAACTAAAATAGGGAAAAGAAAAATAACTTTAGCTTCTATATATGATTTTATTTCTAAGTTTTTTCTTCAGGGACATGAGCATAAAACCTTATAGCTTATGAATACTATTTTGAGATATTCACATCTTTGCTTATCTAAATTCCACCTACTCTTCAAGGCTCCAGTGCAAGTTTTACCTTCTCTATGAAGTGTTAATAATGGCTACAATGTATTAAACACTCACATACCTAGCATCTACTCACTTAATACTCATAACATTCCTATGAGGAAAAGTATGAATATTTCCCCCAATTTCCAGACAAGGAAACAAGAGAGGTGCTGGGAGCAGGTTATATAGCCAATAAGTGGCAGACACAGGATTTGAGCTCAGGCAACCTGGGTCCAGAGGCTGTTCTTTTTTTTTTTTTTTTGAGACGGAGTTTCGCTCTTGTTACCCAGGCTGGAGTGCAATGGCGCGATCTCGGCTCACCGCAACCTCCGCCTCCTGGGTTCAGGCAATTCTCCTGCCTCAGCCTCCTGAGTAGCTGGGATTACGGGCACACGCCACCATGCCCAGCTAATTTTTTGTATTTTTAGTAGAGACGGGGTTTCACCATGTTGACCAGGATGGTCTCGATCTCTTGACCTCGTGATCCACCCGCCTCGGCCTCCCAAAGTGCTGGGATTACAGGCGTGAGCCACCGCGCCCGGCCAGAGGCTGTTCTTAATCACTGGTATATGACCTCTTTTCAAGACTGTGGTCCACCTTCTGTTTTCCTTCTACTATACTTGTTACATATACCTCACAATAAATTTATTATACTCTGTACACTTTTTTGTTTACCTTTTTTTTTCTGAGATGGAGTTTTGCCCTTGTTGCCCAGAGTGCTGCAACCTTGGCTCACTGGAACCTCTCTGCCTCCTGGGTTCAAGCAATCCTCCTGCCGCAGCCTCCTGAATAGCTGGGATTACAGGTGCCCATCACCACGCTCAGCTAATTTTTTGTATTTTTTAGTAGAGACAGGGTTTCACCATGTTGGCCAGGCTGGTCTGGAACTACTGACCTCAGGTGATCCACCCGCCTCAGCCTCCCTAAGTGCTGGGACTACAGGCGTGAGCTACTGCACCCGGCCTTGCTGGTTTTCTTATTTGTTCTATTATGTGTTTGCACTTGCTCCACAACTAAATTTCAAGATCCTTTCAGGCAAGGCAACCATGACATTTACTACCTGCCCCTATTTCTAGCAGAGTGCTGTGTATGAAACACTCAATACATACTTCTAGCAGGCACAGTGCACCTGCCCGTAATCCCAGCTACAGGGAGCCTGAGGTAGGAGGATCACTTAAGCTCAGGAGTCCAAGTCTAGCAAGACCCCATCTCTTAAAACACACACACACACACACACACACACACACACACACACACACACACATTCTCTCTCTCTCTCTCTCTCTCTCTCTCTCCCCCCCCCCCCCTTAGCTAGTTTTTCAAAAATCCCTGGTAACATCTAGAATGTGAAGTAACAGGCTATGAATCAGCAAAATTACTTTAACACCTGAAGGATAACTCATGCCATCAGTGTGACATTTAGCATTACTAAAGTTAGGAAACTGACTACATATATTTATTTTTCTTCTTACTTAATGCATCTCTTCCTGGTGAGTCATACCTACAAAATTGGCAGACCCATCTATTTCCATTACCTAAAAGAGAACACTAAAGGAAAACCAAATGAAATTTCTTTTTCTGCATATGCATAATCAGCAAGTGACAATCTGCGTTATCACAAATAGCACACAAAAGGGGAAAGGATACTGAAATCATAAAGTCTTCCGAGACTGGCAAACAGAATACATTTTTTAATTATTATTATTATTTTGAAATGGAGTTTTGCTCTGTTACCCAGGCTGGAGTGCAGTGGCGTGATCTTGACTCACTATAACCTCTACCTCCTGGCTTCAAGCGATTATCATGTCTCAGCCTCCCAAGTAGCTGGGATTACAGGCAGATGTCAGCATGTCCAGCTAATTTATTGTATTTTTAGTAGAGATAGGGTTTCACCATGTTGGCCACCTTGGTCTTGAACTCCCGACCTTAGGTGATCTACCCACCTCAGCCTCCCAAAGTGTTTAGATTACAGGCATGAGTCACCGCACCCAGCCCAGGATACATTTTAAATGCTTTTCAACCCATCAAAATGGGAAAATAAAAACGGAAGTTCAAAACATGATCTGTCTGGAATCACTCGAATCAACCCATCTACCAAGGTGGTTCAGAGTTAACCAAAATTCTTAATACTGACTATTAAGAAGTAGCACAGACCATAAGCAGAAAAACCACCCTGAGTAGAACAGGACCCTTACCCAATGTTGATAAATCTAATCACATCAAAATGTGGGGTCTATTAGGACTTAAAATAATTTCTCAAATAATAAGGGAGAGAAGCTTAGGGTTTTACAGGCTTCTTATGAAATAGCACTTTTCAAATATACTACTAGTACAATTTCAATTTACATACAAAACAGTGAAATATTATGCTAGCTCTCTAGGTACTTTAGCTATCTCTGGAAAAGGCTAATGTGATCCTAAAACAAATAAATCCTGATTATGGGATTTAACTTATTTTTCCCTTTTAGTGTCTGTCAGCTTTCTAGAGCTGAACAAGTTGTATGGCAACAGAGGTACACATACAAACAAACAAAAGGAAAACAACAGTGTTTTTTGCAGGCTGGCTGGTTTGTACCTTCTGGGCTGTAGTCTCTAAATGTTTAAAAACAGAGAGTATTAATGCCACTGAATTATACACTTAAAAATAGTTACAATGGTTTCTTTTCTTAAAAAAAAAAGACAACTAAAGTGACTTTGGGTCAATGAATAAAGTGAAAAAAGATAATTACTCCATATTTAATATAAAATGGTATTTAAGAATGAAGACTAATATCCTATTGTCAAATCACAATTTTTTGTTTTTTCCAAAAAACATGGATGCCCCATCATAAGAAGACATAGAAATTATTTACAGATTCCATCTTGGGATCCAAAAGGCAAGTAAATATCCTTAATCTACATCAAACTACTGTGTTGACTACAGGTAAGCCCTAGAAACCAGTACCTCTGTACCAGGTTGAAGACTATTCCATTGTGACGTCGACAACTAATCCCGGCCTGCACTTTACACCGCTGGTCATATCACTAAAGCAGAGTCTGCAACACTATTATTTCAAAAACAGCACAAGCTTTTTCTTCTCATACTATATATGCAGTAACAGTGCAGAAGACGAGAATTAAAAATACTACCAGTTTAAGAGAATACAGTTTGAAGCTATTACTTTCTCCTAATCAAGGGATTACCAAAGGTAACATGCTCAAGCCCCAGCTACTGAAAACTCAAATCTTCCACAAGGGTTACTCTGGCCCACATTTTCTTATACATTCAGTTAAACTCTGCTGTTTTGCCACAATGGAAAGTTAGTTCTGCCATGATTTTAACACCCACTCACTTCTTAAAGAATTCCTATAGCTAAAGGAAAACTTACCTCTGCAAAATGTGTTGTTGTGCTATTGTCTATTCGACTGCTGCCACCACCTAAGAAACTAAAGAGAAGAGGAATGAGTGGTGATTCTATCCCCGGGAACAAGCTTCCATCCCAGAAGCTAAATATAGAATGGCATAATGAGAACAAAGCCCAATAAGGAAAAATAACTCATCCCAACACAACACCTATAAAGAAAATTATGAAGAACTGGCATGTGAACTAATCTATGAAAAGTAACATAAACCACAAAATCAAGTGGTTTTCAGGGGAATCAAAGCTAAATCCAGTGAAAAATTGGAGAGAGAAGCCACCGTTGAGAAGGAAGAAGGCAATGCAATTGCCACAGCCAGCAATGCAATTCAAATTTGACCTATCAAAAGAAAAACATTTATCCTCAAAGACACTAACAACATAAAAGTTTTCACTAAAAAACCATTCAACCACCAGATGAACACAATATCTGAGGCTACGATAGTTAATATTTCTTAAGAATGATCAAATGTAGTAACCTAAGAGGCCTGGTACTGTATTTAAAACATTATAAAAGGATTCAGTAAATATTTCTCCCTCCACCCACCCTTCAGGACCCATCTCAAATGTTACCGCCTTCATTAAGCCTTTCTGAACTCTCCAACCAAATAAGACTCCTCTAAACCCCTCTGCACTCTCACTTTGATTCTAAAACCAACCTTGTATTATGAATAGCTAGGATTTGCCTCATCAATTTCAACGACTCATCCATTTCAACCCATTTCCCTCCTCTCATCAATATAAATTCATTAGGTAAAGACTGCAATTTATTAATGCCTCAAATACATGTAGAGTGATTATTAATCGTCAGATATTACACAGCACTGTCACCTTTAAAAAAACTTGCAATGTCATATCCTATATTGATACTCAAAAGTTGTTGAATTAATATCACATGTGAAAATGATAAAATAACTACCTCTTCCCAAAGACCTTGAAGAGTGGAGAGAAACATTAAATCCCATTGTCCCCATGAAATTTGTAAAGAACAAAGACAACAAGCTAACACATCAGGGAAGGGGGGAGGGAAAGAATCACAGGAACTGCTGGATATCACTTTTACTTCAAGAGACACACTTAAGGACACAAACATACATACAAACACCCCAATGATAAGTTCACAAACTACTACAAATAGTTTTTATTTGTAGGATTACAGTACCAATCCAGGCATTGCGTTGTGCTCACTAAGGAAACAAACACACCCTAGTCAGTCTGAAACCAAAAGTGAAAAAGAAAAGCTAATTATAATCTTTATGTAATCATTCTCAAATCTTATTCCTTGATTAGAAACCATTTAATACCTGTATTTATTTCAGAAAACCGCTTTTGTAAAAATCACTCCAAATGTATAACAAGCCCCAAAATACTTGTACATGGATGCTAAATAAACAGCCAATTGAACTACCACATATAAAAAACAAAGTTGAGTGGCTATGTATCCACTTCATTGTTCAAGCCCAGACAGGCTTCCAAGATTCTTCCTGCCTTTGCTACACAGTTTCAGGGATTCAAATATCCTTGGTAAGTGAAAACACAGCTCTTACCTTTTGGGGTTCTGCTCTCCCTGAAAGAGAGAGCAGAACCTCACTGTTCCCTTTCCTTAAAATTCCTGTGCATTTTAAGAGTAATAGAGCCTACCTTAGAGAAGGGACAATAAAAACCACCATGCTGGTCTGAGAAATGCTACAAAACTTGAGAAAACGTATAAGGTACTCCTCTACCTGGAAGCTGAAGAGCAGATGGACCCCATTATCCAATATCTACATGCAAAGATTTCCTCTTACTGACTTTAACCCTTCCACTACTTACCACTGCAACTGCTAAGTATTTAAATCAGCAAATGTTTATGAACTTTGTAGAAGGAAATATACTGTCTCTAAGACAAGGATTCTAAGAAAAAGATTTCTTCTTTCATTTAAAACACAGATCTCTTTCAAAAGTCTTTGTAGTTGAGTAAATTGCTACCAAGAGCACCTAAATCAGACAACCTTTGATCTACAAAGACAAATAAAAGAATTAAGAACAGAATCCACAGTTCCCTGGTAGACAAAGATTCATCCTGCAGTTAATCATTCTCATTTACAACTGTATTTGCATAAAAGTACTATCTGCCTAAAGAAACTAGAGTTACTACTTGAAAACTTAGCAAAAAAAAAAAAAGCCCCATTAATTGTTCTCCCACAACCAATATATCCTTTATTTAGCACATGCAGAGCATAAGTGCCTGAAATAAGTTTTTGATGCAATTATCATAGCACAAACAAAAAAGCTATCCCAAGTCAGCATGCCATCCACACAAAACCGCTAATTTTGCAGTCATGCTAATCTTACAGGGTTAGTGCTGGTATTGTGCTATTTAAAACCAAGATGATTACACTAACAGTTAAGTGTTTGTATCAAAATAGATCCCATGTCACATATTGCCCCAGAAGCTCCAGCTTATTTACACATATAATCACCAATCATTAGTAAAGTAAAACTAATAGTACATACTGTAAAGTGTGTAGTTTTTCCTGGTTGTGGAAGGAACCTTCAACTTTAGATTCTGCCAATAGCAACAGTAAAGGAATTACCTACTGCTATTAAAATCCCCAAAGTCACTCCAAGATTAAGATGCTTCCGATTACAAATTCTTTTTGACCACTCAGTACTTCTTCAATTTTCATACCAATGTTTAACCAAACAGCCCCCAAAAGAACAAAGGTGCCACTGTGATTAGCCAAAGAGGCCATCCTATCAATGCTATTCTAAAATTTATTAACATTTCCAAACAGCCCCAAAAGAACAAATGTGTCATTGAGTTTAGCCAAAGAGGCCATCCTATCAACGCTATTCTAAAATTTATTAACATTTTAGATTGGGCGCAGTGGCTCAGTCTGTAATCCCAGCATTTTGGGAGGCCAAGGCAGGCGGGTCACTTGAGGCCAGGAGTTCAAGACCAGCCTGGCCAACATGGCAAAACGCCATCTCTACTGAAAATACCAAAAATTAGCAGGAGATGGTGGTGCACGTCTATAGTTTCAGCTACTCATGAGGCTGAGGCCTGGGAGGCAGAGGTTGCAGTGAGCCATGATTGTACCACCGCACTGCAGCCTGGGTAACAGAGCAACACTCTGTCTCAAAAAAAAAAAAAAAAAAAAAAAAAAGATTTTATAGTTTTGTTCACATAAAGAGGAATACACAATAGTCACTTTCAGAAATATTTCCCCTTTCTATCAGCTAATATACCTCTACTGAGGCCAATAAGAACAAATTTCAAGCATTACAAACCCGTATATTAATATTACACTGGAAAGATGGCCTAAGTTTGACAGCAATAATCTTTTTTTTTTTTTTTTTTTTTTGAGTCAGTTTCGCTCTCATCACCCAGGATGGAGTCTCAGCTCACTGCAACCTCCGCCTCCCTGTTTCAAGTCATTCTCCTGCCTCAGTCTCCCAAGTAGCTGGGATTATAGGCACCCAACAACATGTCCAGCTAATTTTTGTATTTTTAGTGGAGATGGTTTCACCATGTTGACCAGGCTGGTCTCAAACTCCTGACCTCAGGTTATCCACCCAACTCGGCCTCCTGAAGCTCTGGGATTACAGACGAGACTTACCGGCATCTGCCAAATAATCTTAGTAAGAACAAGAGATCCAAGGCTTCCTCAAAGCAGAGTAACAGTGGGTTTCCCTGGCTACAACAGCCCGTTTACCTGATTAGATATCTTTTTCAGAAGTCACTCCCTAATCCAACAAAGAAGTGTAACAGCAGTTTACCTTCAGGCAGCAGAGCGGTCACTAAAAACCAACTAATAATCTAAGAAAAGCCCCAGGTCTCAGATAATAAATGACAACTGACCACATTTACTCTGACATGCGCACAGATGTTTCCAAGGAACGTCACACACAATCAGGAGCAGGGTACATCATCACATCCACATCACTTTCCAAATTTTCCCGTTTTTCTTTCTACTCTCCCATTTTTTCTGCCTTCTCTTGTGCAAGCTCATGCATTCACTGACTCACTGTCTCTCTCTGTAGAGAGTCCAAGTTAAAAAACAAATTCAATGTACTCATTCAATGCTGAGAGAAAATAGTTTTGATAATAGAATGTCTGAGTTATTTATGAGCTTATACAATACCTGGAATCATCTGTCACTTCTTCAATAAAGCCTGATTCACATCTGGGACAAATATATTCCTATTAAAAAAAAGGAAAAAAGAAAAGTTTTTCGTTAGAAAGTTGTGACATACGTTGTTTCAGAGTAACATGCAGTGTACACTGAGGCTCTGAAATGCTGTACTGTAATTGCTGACTCCAGGTGATTCCACAGTAGTTTCTTTGTTTGCTTGTTTTTTGTGAGACAGGGTCTCACTCTGTCACCCAGGCTGGACTGCAGTGGTGTGATCATAGCTCACTGCAGCCTCAATCTCCCAGGCTAAAGTGATCCTCCCACCTCAGCCTTCTGAGTGACTGGAACCAAAGGCACATGCCAACAAATCCGGCTAACTCTTTTTATTTTAAGTAGAGATGAGGTCTTGCTATGTTGCCCAAGCTGATCTCAAACTCTTGAACTGAAGCGATCTTCCTGCCTCAGTCTCCCAAAGTGCTGGAATTACAAGCATGAGCCACTGAGCTCAGCTTAGTTTTTTCTTTTTCTTTTCTTTTGAGACAGAGTTTAGCTTTTTTGCCCAGGCTGGAGCACAATGGTGCTATCTCAGCTCACTGCAAACTCTGCCTCCTGAGTTCACTCCTGCCATAGCCTCCCAAGTAGCTGGGATTACAAGCATCCACCACCACACTGAGCTAAGTTTTGGTATTTTTAGCAGAGATGGGGTTTCACCATGTTGGTCAAGCTTGTCTCAAACTCCTGATCTCAGGTGATCCACCCGCCTCAGCCTCCCAAAGTGCTGGGATTACAGGCATGAGCCACAGCTCCTGATCCCAGCCTAGTTTTTTCTATTATACTCTGGTAAATATAGAATTCCATAAGATATTTGCAGAATTGCTTCATAGCTACCTAAGTGGTTCCCAATGAGAGCTGAAAGGGGGAGTGTCAGAAGTTTTTCTTTATTTTAAAAGTTAGGTTACTTATTATTATTATTATTATTTTTGAGACAGAGTTTCGTTGGCTCAATGCAACTTCTGCCTCCCAAGTAGCTGGGATTACAGGTGGCTGCCACCATGTCCAGTTAATTTTGTATTTTTAATAGAGACAGGGTCTTAACGTGTTGGCCAGGCTGGTCTTGAACTCCTGACCTCAGGTGATCCACCTGCCTCAGCGTCCTAAACTGCTGGGATTACAGGCATGAGCCACTGAACCCGGCCTAAAATTTAGGTTATTTTTTAACTAGAATGAATCTATCATCTAATTTTTTCCTACAAATCTAATTTAAAAAGCTCCACTATATACATATCGAAGCACTAAAATATGTAATACTGATGGGTATAGAAACTGCTACTTTTAGGCTGGGCAGAGTGGCTCATACAAGTAATCCCAACACTTTGGGTAAGGTGGGCAGATCATTTGAGGTCAGGAGTTAAAGACCAGCCTGGCCAACATGGTGAAACTCCATCTCTACTAAAAATGTAAAATTAACTGGGGTATGTTGGTATACACCTGTAGTCCCAGCTATTCGGGAGGCTGAGGCAGGAGAATCCCTTGAACCTGGGAGGGAGAGGTTGCAGTGAGACCAGACAGTGCCGCTGCCCTCCAGACTGGGCGACAGACTGAGACTCTGTCTCAAAAAAAAGTTTAATTCAAGGACATTAGAAGAAAAACAGAAAAAAATAAATAAAATAAAAAATTTTTAAAAAAGAAACTGCTGCTTTTTACTATGTGCACACAAGAGACATAAACTAAATAACAGCATAAATAAATCTGTAGACTAAAAAATTACAATGAGGCAGTATGGTATTTCTAATCTATCTTCTGTTTAACAATGGTTCCAAATAAAAGCTAACATTCTCAAAATGCCCTACAGAAGTAATAATTCAAATAACCAAAACAATTCCATTAAGTCAATTTCTATTTCCTTTAGTAATAAATCTTTCTTTCAAGTAATATCAAGCTTTGAGGATAAGAATATACTTTAAGAGACTGCCTTATAGTCATTTTTTAAAGTATATTTTAACTACCTATTAAAATAGATCTGGGAAACACATTTTCTTTTTCTTTTTAACCTCATCCTAGACTCCAAAGGCATGGGAAAGACATTTTCAAGCATTTTTTATTTTTCTTTCTTTTTTTTTTTTGAGACAGGGTCTCACTCTGTCACCCAGGCCGGAATGCAGTTGCAAAATTTTGGCTCACTGCAGCCTTGACCTCCGGGGCTCAGGCAATCCTCCCGGCCTCAGCTGGGACCACAGGCACACACCGTGCCCAGCTATCTGTATTTGCAGTAGAGATGGGATCTTACCACATTGCCCAGGCTGGTCTTGAAGAACTCCTGAGCTCAAGCAATGTGCCCACCTTGGCCTCCCAAAGTGCTGGAATTATAGGCATGAGACACTGTGCCCAGTTCAACTATTTTCTTATCACCTGTACTTTCTGAACCCCTACATTTTGTTCTACCTGAAGATGATGTAAGCTCTATTTGGCTCTTCAAATAAAGATAGGATGGGAATTCAAACACAAATGCTTTTTTTTTTCCCCTAAAGAGATGGGGTCTCATTCTGTCACCTAGACTGGAGTGCAGTGACACAATCACGGCTCATGTCAGCCTCAAACCTCCGTCCTCAAGTGATCCTCCCAAAGTGCTGGAATTACAGGCATAAACCACCATACACTTGGCCCTCAAGTGCTTTCTTAAAAGAAAAAAGATTTTTAAAAGTCCCTCATGTCAAAAAGATTAGCTTCTTGAGGAGACAGTCAAACCAAGAAACAGCAAATTTAATAAAATAATGCTATAAGCAATGAACACTGGAAAAAGGAACAATATGGAGTTTTCCTGGGGAACTAGGGAAAGCTCTGACTGAAACAGAGACCTAAAACATGTGTTTGTTCAATAAAAAAGGAAATTCTAGGTTTAGGACCATGATGATAGAAAACAGCATGCTTGGAGGTTAGAGGTGAGTGGTATGAATGTGGATATGTAAACAGGCAGACGGGGCCAGAATGTGGAAAACTTTAGATAACTATTAATATCAACTTTACCTTGAGGATCAGAAACTCAACCATTTTTCTCCACTACACACATGAAGGATGAGACACATTCATAACGGGCACACAGTAAACTACTCCAGAAACGAAGTATTCTGGAGACCACATAAATCCCTGAGTCCCCCTCTACTCCTTCACCCCCTACCTCCCAGAAAGCTGCAACTCCATCCCTTTCTCTCCCATTAAGAAAATTTATCTCGTCAGGTACAGTGGCTCACACCTATAATCCTAAGTTTGGAAGGCTGAGGCGGGAGGATCGCTTGAGCTCAGGAGTCTGAGACAAGCTTGGGCAACAGTGAGACCTTGTCTCTACAAAAATGTATAAATTAGCCAGGCATGGTGGTGCACACCGGTAGTCCCAGCTTCTTGGGAGGCTGATGCGGGATCGCTTGAACCCGGGAGGTGGAGGTTGTAGTGAGCTATGATTGTGCCACTGTACTACAGTGTGGGTGACACAGCAAGACCCTGTATCAAAAGAAATAAGGTAAGTTTATCTGAATGCTGAATGCAAATGAGATTGATTTTGGAAAATTAACCTTAAATCTATTCTAAAATTAAATTCAAAAAAAGAGTCAATAGCAAAATGAAATCACAGTGCTAGGCCTTCTTCTTTCTTCTCTCTCCTTCTCTTACTCATTCCTATTGCTTTAAATATCCCTATATGCCAACTCCCCCCAAACGTATATATATCCCTATCCCAGGCCAGTCTTCTGAATTCCAGACTCACTTATTCCCATGTGCATGGTCTCTCACTTGCTTTTTCTCTCTCTTATATACATACACACACACCCTTGAGAGGTGGCATACCAGTTGCTCATACTAGAAACCCAGGGGTCATTCCTAACACTTCTTTCACCTCCCACCGTCAAATCCTGGTACTCCAAACACAAACACATTTCCCAAATCTACATACTCCTTGTGCCGCTGTCACTACTTTAACCCAAGCCAGCATTGGCTCTGAGCAATGAGTATCTTCCCTTTTTTGACAAAGTCTCACTCTGTCACCCAGGCTGGAGTGTGGCTCAATCTTGGCTCACTGCAACCTCTGCCTCCTGGGTTCAAGTGATTCTCCCACTTCAGCCTCCAAAGTGGCTGGGATTACAGGTGCCTGCCACCACACCCAGCTAACTTTTGTATTTTTAGTACAGGCAGGGTTTCGCCATGTTGACCAGGCTAGTCTTGAACTCATGACCTCAAGTGATCTGCCTGCCTCGGCCTCCCAAAGTACTGAAATTACAGGCCTGAGCCACCGTGCCCAGCCTGAGTATCTTCCCTCTTAAATTGTGTCCTGCGTCTCTTTTAGTCCTTTCCAATCTGCTCTGCACACTGAAGAAAGAACCATCTTTTAAAAAGCATAAAACAAACATGTGGCCAGGAGTGGTGGCTCACACCACCTGTAATCCCAGCACTTTGGGAGGCCAAGGTGGGCAGATCACGAGGTCAAGAAACAGAGACCATCCTGGCTAACATGGTGAAACCCCATCTCTACTAAAAATACAAAAATTAGCTGGGTGTGGTGGCGTGCACCTAGGCTCCCAGCTACTCAGGAGACTGAGGCAGGAAAATCACTTGAACCCAGGAAGCGGATGTTGCAGTGAGCTGAAATTGTGCCACTGCACTCCAGCTTGGGCAATAGAGCGAGACTGCGTCTAAGCAAACAAACAAATAAGATTGACATGTTATTCCCAGCTTAAAATCTTTCAATTATTTCCTAAAACACTTAGAATAAAATTAAACTCTTTTTTTTTGAGACGGAGTTTCGCTCTTGTTACCCAGGCTGGAGTGCAATGGCACGATCTCGGCTCACCGCAACCTCCGCCTCCTGGGTTCAGGCAATTCTCCTGCCTCAGCCTCCTGAGTAGCTGGGATTACAGGCACGCGCCACCATGCCCAGCTAATTTTTTGTATTTTTAGTAGAGACGGGGTTTCGCCATGTTGACCAGGATGGTCTCGATCTCTTGACCTTGTGATCCGCCCGCCTCGGCCTCCCAAAGTGCTGGGATTAGAGGTGTGAGCCATCGCGCCCGGCCTAAAATTA